GCATTCGACTTCAGCTCAGGTCATGATCTCACGGGTTTGTGGGTTCGAGCCCTGCGTTGGGCTCTGTACTGACAGCTAGCTCAGAGCCCGGAGCCTGCTTCAGATTCTGGGTCTCCCTCTCTCTCTGACCGTCCCCTTGTCACTCCCTCTCTCTGTCTCTCTCTCTCATAAATAAATAAAAACATTAAAAAATAAATAAATACATAAAACAAGCAATATGGTCAAGTCAATCTTTCCTGAGAATGGGGATCCAGAGAGTGGAGTGGTAGATGTGTTCTCTTCTGCTAGTGTTAAGCCAATATCCCAGGTTTCTGGATTGCTCATTATCCTAAAACACAGCCAGAAAAAAATCAACACAGCCTGGATCTCTGGCAACTTGAAGGTATGCACACCGAGGCACTTTGAAGTTTATGTGGGTGGGCCAGTTTATTTAGTATTAATAAGTACTTAGAAGATGTAGAATGGAACTCTGGATTTCATCTAAAGGGGGAGAATGGTCTTTATTGGCTCTAATATCCGACTTCATAGGTATAAAAAAGCAAAAAGAAATCAAGATTTGGAAACATGAGATGGACAGAAACAAAAGAAACATCAATAAATCCAATTCCAAGAGACACTTACAGACAATGAAGACAGAAGGTTGATACCCAATGTGACTGAAAAAATCAGTTTCCTTAGTTATAAAAGATGTGTTTTATTAGTTTACCAAAGGGAAAATACACTCAAGCACATACATATAATAAATGAAGGGTCTTAAGGTAGAAAATGCTAATATGAACATAAAACCAAATTGCAATTAATGAAGATGTAGTTCAGTGCTACATCTCTGGTCATTCCTCCACTGCACTAGAGCTACAGACTTGATAAGCTACTTGATATTCCCCTTACCTGGAATAGCCTAGTCATCCTGCATCCCTGCATAGAAAGGAGCGCATGCATGAATGCACGCACGCACACACACATCATCATCTTTCTTCAGACTAATATCCTTTGGGCCCTAGCTTAGATGTTATTTATTCCAGGAAACTTCCTGCACTAACCCCAAGACCATATAAGGTCCCGTCTCTCACACGCTAAAGTGCAGCAATGTGAGTCACTCTGTACAGAATTGTCTATTTACTTGTCTGCTTCTTCCATTAAAACTCCAAGTTTCTTGATGGCAGGAACTTAGTCTGACTTGACCATTCCTGTATTGTCAGGGGGTAACATAATGCCCGCAAAGTATACATACAGGTGCTCAGTGTGAATTTGCTGAATGGATCATACATTTTACAGTGTAGAAAGCAAGCCCTGTCACCATCAAGCTCTGGGATGTGTTCTTTCCTAAAACAGATTTGCTAAGATAAAACTAGTGCCAGTTATTTCAAAGAGCTGTTACGTTGGATACGCAGTTATTAATATTTGCCTGTTGTGGTAACTGGTAGGGCTGGTCACAAATTACAGAACTTACACCATCTCTTTTTCCTTGCTATCAGAACTTGCCTCCCTCTCTAGAGGCAGAAAATGTCAAATATTCTCTTTCTCCAGCTCCCTTGAAGCTATGTGACACCATTCTAGACAAAGAAATGTGAAGGGAATTCTACTTGGGCTCCTACTAAATATTTTTCACCTCCCAAAAAGAGATTTCAGAAACTCTCCCCTTCTTCTTGCTGTTGCACACAACGGTCTGAAGACATGAGGTAGTTCTCTTTAGACTGAGGTGACAAGCCTAAAAATTAGAGTTAGTATGTTAAGGGGGGGGGGGGCGGGGAAGCAGTGACATCATTGAATGGTTGCACCAAACCTGAATTGGTCACCTGAAGACATTGCTATGTGCGACTGCCAATGTCTTTAGTGTTTGGACCCCTGTTGATCAGGAATATGCTGTTATTTACAGCTGAACACATTATAACCAATTATGTAAGCAACATGCAAATTTTCCTCTGTGGCCTCAGATGAGGCATGTGTTTCAAAAGCCACTATAAACCAGCAGGTGGGATTGGGATACCAGAACCAAAATCATTATTTGAAGAGTTAAAGACATGAAAAGGATCATCTAATGATGAAATTTGTTGGATAAAGATGAAGCCCAGGTGCTAATGTTAGAAAAGGGCCGTGTGTCCCTACGCTGGAGGAAAAGCACAAGAAGGCAAATTGGAGAAGTATATTCACAAATATGTTCATTCTTGGCATCTTTGTTCAGAATTAGCTCATGAAGCAATTTTACAGATAACTACCTGCCTAGGAAACTCTCAGTGCCCTAGTAGTAAAAAAATGTTCAACTGTATGTATTTGTCCAGCGATAGATCTTCAGAGCGCAGGAAGGAATGGATGAAGGGGACCCCTTATATTTGTGTGGTTACTTACAGAGATCATTCATGTCAATTTCCAGCCTGACCTACGTGGAATCCAGCACCTTTCATTCCATCTCTTAAAAAAACAATGGGCACCTGGGTGGCTCAGTCAGTTGAGCATCTGACTTTGGCTCAGATCATGATCTGACAGTTCATGAGTTTGAGCCCCGCATCAGGCTCTGTGCTGAAAGCTCAGAGCCTGGAGCCTGCTTTAGATTCTGTGTCTCCCTCTCTCTCTGCTCCTCCCCCACTCATACTCGGTTTCCCTCTCTCTCTCAAAAATAACAAACATCTTTAAAGGTTTAAAAAAATAAAGAAAAATAAATGTTCCACTTCTTCATAGAACATACATTCACAATTATATTCAGTAATTTATTATTAAGTCATGAATGTTAGCAATTTATATAACACTCATCAAAAATTATAGAGGGATCATTCAGTGCTTTTTGAGGAAGTCACAGCATCCTTAAACCCAGAGAAGGAAGAATACAACAGACAAGACACCGACACTTTGACATGAGACACAAAATCTTCTGCAGAAGCGTTCTCCCCCCAGCCAGCCCCCTTTTCCCCATGTTCTCCTCCAATTCCAGGGGCTTTCTCCATATGGTTTGGCTTCAATGAGCCACTCTCAGAAGCCACAGACACAGCTTGGATCTAGGTTTGTATATTAACAGGTCATTGACTCTTTTGTGGCGTTCTTTGACACACACACAAGTGAATAGCTATGGTTTCTACAACGGCAGGATCTGGTCTTATTTTTACACACAAAATGCAGAAATGGAATCTAATGGGAAGAAATGGCAGCAGGTGTGCAGACAGGTTTCTGTGGGCTGTTTGGGGCCAGGAGTCCTGGTGGACAGAGAGCTGGTGCAGAAGGACCCATACCAGGCAATGCAGCATCTGGCTCAGCACAGGTGCAAGTATACAACAGGGAATCACAGGTCCACTGAGGCCAGCTTCAGTGGGAGGCATGGAGGTAGTGGAAAATAATTCAATACTCTTCTGAATCATGATAAAAATGTTATCATCAGTTCTAATATAATTTATCTAAGGTCAACTACTTTCAGAATTCCTTGCTCTTGGAAGCCTCTGAACTGTGATACCAAACACTGTGGGTCATTAGGAAAAATGATCGCTACCCTTTGGAATCCTGATGAGCTAATTCTCCAGCAGGGAACCGCCATAGAACCAGAGCACTGGGTCATCCAAATGCGTTCCAGGTTCGTTCCAATGCAATATGGCGTGTTTAGTCATAGCAAAATGAATGTTAGTCTTATCATTATCAGTATCGTTACTATTTTCAAGCTTTACAGTTTGTTTTTGAAATTAAGGTTAGTTTCTCTTTAAAATGTTAAAGCTTTTACATTCATACAAAACATGATTTGGTATTGGGAATTTACTTTGTAGCCTGGGAGCTAGCTCCAGTAAACTTGGATCATTGTAAATGCAATTAATTGGTAGTTTCAGGCAATCAATGTCAGACTGTCATATCTCATTCTTCGGCACCTTGGACTGCGTATTTCATGCCTTCAAATTACTTTTGAAACAATTTTGTCCAAATTGTCTGGAGCCTCTTTCCCCCCAAATTAGAGTGACCAACACAGATTATATATGAGATAGGACTTGAAGATTACTGCTTTTTAAATGCCTTCCAAAACTTATATACTCAATCGAGAGTTTTCTCCTTCAAAATAGTCCTCTTTTGACACTTATACATTCATCCCAAACATGATAACACTAATTATCAAGGCCAGACACTAGTACAATACTGGGCATGTAGGTCTTAATAAATATTCTGTGATTGAATGAGTCCATGAGTAAGTGAGTGATAAAAGAACAGATAAATGAATTTAGATCTTGCACTTTGAGGACTGCCTTCCAATCCACTAACACTTTTGTTTTAATATCTACATGAATGGTGAGCTTTAGGTTTTGGGGGTGAATTTGATTAGTGAAAACAGTCAAAATCACTTAGATCCAGTCTTGGGAACAGAGACACAATTTAGAGAGATAAGGGCACTTAGGGAAACACAGGGTATGATCAAAATACTACAAGCTTGACTTTCCTGTACGTGCCCTCTGAAGGCCAGAAATAATTTAACAATATCAACAACTCTCAATCAGCCACATCAAGTCCAGGGGAATGGCTTTGAGAGGCTATGCTAAATAGAAAAACACTGGCAGGCTAATTTCCACACCAATTATCTCTAATTGGGCTTATACATTTATGGTCAATGTTTACTGACTATTTTTTCAAGCGTGATGGAGGGGAGGTCCTGTAGCCTTCGTACTACATGATCTCTTTAAACTTTCCCAGCCTAACATTCAATAATTCTATAAATAAATAATTTAACCACTGCTCACACATCTTCAGCCACTCTTACTAACTTAGCAGAGGTTTTATATTGAGGGGAACTGTCCCTTCAAACAGATGCAAGGCTCTGAGAAAAATCATGGGTTAGCCTCTAGACTACCAGCAACACACACACACACACATACACACACACACACACACACACACACACACACACACACACACACCTCTGTCCCATTCACAGTAAACTATCTGTCCCCCAAACAGGGACAATTATAGAAGTCATCTTGTTTACATTCATGTGAAATGACAGATTTCAGCCTCACTTTGAATGATTCATCAACTTTTCATTAACTAGTTACAACTTCAAAGGCAGAGGAAGTGCCTTCAAATGGAAGTATGACGGCCGGCTTGAGAAAGTCCTGCTTCCGATTGTGTCCAAAGTATCTCATCCTGTAGATCCCAGGCTGGGCACTCTCCGGAATATGCCATTGCATCGTCGCATTGCTGTGACCCAGTAATCCCTTGTGCCAATAGAAACTGTTGGTAGGAAACAAACCAACCAACCATGTTTTACTCTTAAAAAGATGTGATTTGAAAAATGTAGGATTCATCATGATATGAACATTCGGGGAGTACCTACCGTAAGCAAGGCACTATCCTAGATACTGGGAGCAATGAACCAAACAGGGACAAATACTTTCTAGAAGAGAATCTTTAAGAAATAGCCATTTGTAGCAATCGTCTTACCTGTTCTACCTTTATAACCATGCAGACCTCATCCATCCCCAAAAGCGTCACCTGATACTCGGAACACAGGGAGTCTCCCACTTCAGAACTCCCAGTGTTCGCCCTTTCCGTCCCCCACTTCAACTGACACTTCTCCAGCCAGATTCATTTGTCAAAAATATATACTTAATGAGCACATGCGCCAGCCTCTGTTCTAGAGGTACTGAGGATAAGGTCATAAGAAAGACGGAAATAGCTCCAAGTTCCATGGAGTCTGCATTCTACTAGGGCAAGGGCAGGGGGCGGAAGGAGAAAGACAATGAATGGGTAAACCAGGAAATGATTTTTAAAAGTGATAGTTGAAATGAAACAAGTATGGCAGATGTTATTTAAGCTGAACCCACACGTGCCCAGATGAAGAAGGAACAGAGGACGCAAAGTGTTTCAAGCAGGAAAAAAAGGTGGTACAGTGGAGAGGCAGAAGGAGGGTGCAGTGAAGTGTGACACAGTGAGAGAGTCAGCTCATACTGGCCCTTGTAGACCACCTCAAGAAGGTCAGATATTCTTACAGGTAAGTGAGATACAGTGGGCTGACTGACTGATAACCCCAACTGTGTAGAGAGTAAGTTCCCTGGGTGGAGAGGGTATTCTCCACATTCTGTGTGTTTCAATGACAGGAAGCCTATACGTACCCTCAAGTGTTCACTGCTATTCCGATTTGCGGATTTTGAAAATAAAAATGCTTTTTTATTGGGGCACCGGGGTGGCTTAGTTGGTTAAGCATCCAACACTTGATTTCGGCTCAGGTAATGACCTCACACTTCGTGAGTTCAAGTCCCGCACCAGGCTCTGTGCTGACAGTACAGAATCTGTTTGGGATTCTCTCTCTCTCCACCCTTCCCCTACTCCTTCTTTCTCTCTCTCTCCTCTCTCTCTCTAAATAAACATTTAAAATAGTTTTAATGCTTTTTTGTTATCCGTATAATCTTACCTTAATAAATATTTGTTTAAAAGTGACCTGTGCCCTAGATTCCTAAAGATCAGAGGAAAATTTATGCCCAGATTTATGTCTGACTATCAAAGGGGCCACAGCATGGTCCTATTTCAATTTTCAATTAACCACGTGAGGGAAACCAACATGCAACTAATGACCTAATGTAAGGTGATGTGAATTAGACACAAGTGGCCAAAATTTTTACCCACTTCCATTCCTCTGTCCTGCGGTATGAAATTGATATGCTCGGGAACAGAAACTTTTTTTTTGTTCAGATGCCATTTTCAAATCTTCAGAATATTTATTCAGCTTAGGGATTTGCTAACAATAAAGCACAGAGCTATGCCTCTCTGAGCAAACCCCATAAACAAATTTCTTTCTTATGTGAGTAAGGAAAAAATGAACACTCAAGCTTCTCGTGTTTTAGTAATTCAAATGAAGAATCATTGACCGAGTATAAACATGTAATAATTTTGTCTATAGACTCTCGTTATTTTCCCAGAAGGAACTGTCAGGCTCTACAGAGCCCTGTGTGCCTTGAAACCCATTTGCAAGAAGGCTAGCCAGCTTTTAGGGCTATGTCTGCAGCCGTGGAAAAAAACAAAATTAACAGATGTTTACAAAAATGGAGGCCATAACCTCATTAGCACCTCGTCTTACAGTAGCCCACATCCCGCTGTTTTGCAGGGAAAGAGACTCAAAATGAAGTGTAATAAATCAACTAAATATGGCCAGAAGGCTCCATGGGAATTTGATAGCAGTAATATCCTGCATTGAGCCTGTGTTCACATTTGTCTTCCCCGCACAAAACTAACCAACTGTTCTCATGGTTTGAAAGACAAAATATCCAATAGACAAGCTCACCGTGTCTCCCAGGAGGCATCGTTATGCACGAGCCGCCATGTTGCTGATGCAGCCTCGTATTTCTCAACAGTGAGGAAGGTCTGATGGGTCTGAAACGCAATTCATACAACAGATGAGACCCCGCACGGTCATAGAAGGTGCCTATAAATACATCCTTGTGGTCCATAGGCTAATCTGTCAATACCTGGTGTGAAAATGTATGAGTGTCATCCACATTCTTAGGTGCGTCTCTCTACATTCCATGCAATGACTTCAGAATGTCACTTTATCCACGCTATTACACACCATGACTTTTTGTTTGTTTGTTTTTAAGAAAAGTGAGTGGAGCATCATTTTAGAGCTGATGGCAAATTTTGCAAACTGGGACAGAGAAGAGACGGAATAAAACTTCAGATTCTAAAAAAAAAGAAGTCAAGCCTTTACGTGACATGTTTATGGATCTATATTCAAAGACTTTCTCTAGTCCCTTCAAGACTGAGGAGGGAAAATGGGAACGTTTCTTCATCTTTCTATCTCTAGATAAATGAATTGTTGGTAAACATCTCCCAAGTGAAAGAATTAAAAAGGATGCATAAATCTTCCTTGTCCTAGATGCTGAAAGCAATTCCTATATTTTGTCATAATGGATTCCTAGAAAGCACATCATGGGCAGGTTTTATTTCCCCATTGGAAAATTGCTATAATTTATTTCAGACCAAGAATTCAGCTCCAAATCAAGTGCAGATTTGATATAACAAATTAAAAGATATAGAGGCCATGAATCTCTAATTTTCCTCAAAAATCTCTAGCTTGTGGCCCTTAAGGGCAGGACTTGTGTCTAATTCATTTGCATCCATTATAGTCTTTTAGGTGTTCAAATAAAACTTGGTGAATGAATCCCTTATTTACAACCAGGCCATGGGATTATCTAAAACGTTACTCAGCTGATGGGTTGTATTCAATAAAGAAGTTTTCACTATGATGGTGACTTGTAAAGAGAATGGTTTTGGCCATGTAGGGCAGAGTGACATCGGGGAGGCTGTAGATGGAGTAGGAGATAGGGTGAGCCCCAGTGCACAGGTCTTTAGTGTAGACCAGAGAAAGAGTCTAGGCCAATGACTATGTGAACTATGTGACTACCCTTTCCCGCATTCTAATCCTGATCTCTTCCTGACACACAGCTACTTAATACAAGTTACTGAATCTTTCTAGGCCTCAGTTTCTTCATCTGTAAAATGGGGATAATAAAACATAACCCTATGGATAGAAGTAAGGATTAAATTAGATTGAGGTGACAATGTACACAGAGTACTTCACATAGTGCCTGCAAAGAAGAAGCATTCAATAAATACAAGTGGGGAGGTCCTGATTACCAACAAAGGAGGGTAGTGGAAATTGTCGTGTGCTGAGTTGCAGAGCATTCTTACAAATTACTTCTAGGGGCACCTGGGTGGCTCAGTCGGTTAAGCATCCAACTTCGGCTCAGGTGGTGATCTCAAGGTTCATGGGTATGAGCCCCACATCGGGCTCTGTGCTGACAGCTCAGAGCCTGGAGCCTGCTTCAGATTCGGGGTCTCCCTCTCTCTCTCTGCCTCTCCCCTGCTTATGCTCTCTCTCTCTCTCTAATATAAATAAACATTAGAAAAATTTTAAGGAATTAATTATTTTCTCATTCCAGCGCTTTAAGCATTTTGTTCCCCTGCTTCTCCATGGCAATAGCAATGATAATCCTTCTCTACCCTAAGGATATCAAATGACAGCTAAGCCTGCAGTTTTGCCATAAACACTTCAACATCTCCAGAAAACAATGCTATAAACATGCAAATGTTATGACAGAGTTTGACTGCCTACAGAAGTTACTGCAAACAGGTGCGTGTTGACTTTGCAAGCAGAACATTTTTCCCTGATGGCATATTTGACAGTGTTCTCTTGCCACTTATCATCACAGCGATAATGATACCTCAATAAACAGAAATGGAAGGTGCATTTGGAGGAAAGGTCTTGGGGTTATAAGTAACAACGGTCCCTGGGAAGAATGACTCATGGATAGAATAAAGGAACCCTAAACCACAATAAAAAAAAATCTGACCTTGAAATCATTTTTGTATACTTATTCCTTATCCTCTACATCTTTCTTTATTGTTTGAATTTTTACAACTAGAATATGTCTAGCTATTGCTTAGATAGTTATAAGAACATTCTAAAGGAGTTACAGAGAAGTAAAATTAATTCATTTTATTAATAGCCATATTACATATGTACACTTTATCATATACATGTGTCTTCTACACAGATAGAAGGACCATAAAACATGAAATGATATGTAACAAAGTATGAACAATTCTTACCTCTAAAAATGTTTATGGAAAGACAGGTACTTTCATACTCTATCTTATTTAATTTTTTAATTTTATTTTTGAGACAAAGAGACAGAACATGAGCAGGGAAGGGGCAGAGAGAGACGGACACACAAAATTCAAAGCACGCTTCAGGCTCCGAGCTGTCAGCACAGAGTCCGACACAGGGCTCGAACCAACAAACCGTGAGATCACTACCTGAGCTGAAGTGGGACGCTTTACTGACTGAACCACCCAGGTGCCCCTCATATTCTATTTTAAACACTTCTACATTGCCTATGTTTATATTGAACGTGTATTTCTTATGTCGTTTTTCAAGATGAAGAAATAAATATCCAATTGGTGCCAGGAATAAAGAGTAGGGAAAGGGTAAATGCAAGGTAAAGTAAAGCACACAGGCCAGGGCTTCAAGCCAGGAGGGCATCCGCTCCAGGGGTGCATGGTCAGGCCATGACCGACAGGTAGGACCAGAGGCTGTGGTCCTGGAGGAGAGGAGCCAAAATGGGGGGTAGAAAGGAACCAAAGATACACTTCATCCTTGGCCCTTTGATTATTTTACCAAATGTAGTAGAGTTTCTAAATTGGAACACATAACTGGGATTGTATTCCAATTTATATCTTCTCCAGAGACAGTGTGGTTCTCTCTGGAGTCTGCAATATGTGAGCCTAAGCAGAGCCAGTTAAATGTTTCCTGTGTGCTTTTTTCCCCCAGACTTAATTCTACATTGCTACATTAATTTTTCCTACCGAAAACATTCCCACACTTAAAAAATAAGATGCGGGGCACCTGAGTGGCCCAGTCAGTTAGGCATCAGGTTTTGGCTCAGGTCATGATCTCTCAGTCAGTGGGTTCGGGCCCTGTGTCACGCTCTGTGCTGACAGCTCAGAGCCTGGAGCCTGCTTCAGATTCTGTGTCTCCCTCTCTCTGCCCCTCCCTGGTGCACTCTCTTTCTCTCTCCTCTCTCAAAAATAAATAAATATTTAAAAATTTTTTAAAAATTAAGATGAAAATCAAGTTGGAATATTTTATCATTATGGTGTTAACCTCTATATTGATTTTCAAATGAAAACTAAAAAGTGTAAAAAGAATCGTGGATGCTTACCTGGTTTTCTGCTGAATTCTTCGGGTTAGCACCTACAAATGTAACTTCAGCAACTTCTCCCTGAAAGTAAAAACTCATTGTATGAGTTTTAATAAAACTCATTCTTCACTGGTCTCCTATTTAGGCCACAATTTATGAAATGCGCCAGGATGCTGGGCACCTGTATAGATTCTATTTAGTTGAGTGATTTATCTTCTCAGAATATGATAGACCAAGCCCTTGCAACAATGGACACAGGAGTTTGGGGCCAGTAGATTATTCCAGAGTTTTTCACCAGTGACAATGTTTTTAGTGCATTCAGATGTAGGTAAAGACAGAGAGTATCGTTCGCATCAGGGGCAGCGCATTAAAGTGGCTTCTTCAGCCTTTGATATTTTCTCACACTTCCCTCCAACACATATCTAGGAAATGGACCGACTTACATAAGAGCGATCAAAGCTTCCCATGAGTGACTTGTACTTACACTTGCGTGAGTGAGATACAAGGTGGAATGGCAGGGTGTGCATCTCCCTTCCCACCTGAAACAACTAAAAACGCTGGACAGATACGTATTATACTATGGTCGCGGGGCAAGGAATGGGAACGGTGATCTTAGAGTGACGGAAAACAGACACAATGAGCCTCGCAATCACCCCAACTTAATGCCTTCAGAGCATGCAGCACCAGGAGGCAGAGCTCAAGCAAAGCAAGGCAAGTCTATCTAAGCCAAGGAATAGACGTAGGAGTCCACAAAGGCCAGGTAGTCTTGCATTCACAAGGTAGAGTAACAGAGAGAAGAGGGCACCAGAGAGAGGAGAGCCACAGAGAGAGAGAACTCCGGAGATGTGTGGGGAGTTACCCTCAACCCTGTGTGCAGGAAGACAACCACCTGAGGACAAGAAAAGAATGTGTCAGCAGAGATTGAAATTCTTACCCCCTGAAGCATCCAAGCTCAAAGTCTGATCAATATTGGGCTGAACGCTAAGTTAGACAACCACAGGGACAACAACTTGAGAGGCAGAATTCAAAGGAGAATCAAGAAGAAAACTGTGGGGCAGGGGCACCTGGGTGGCTCAGTCAGTTAAGCGTCCAACTTTGGCTCAGGTCATGATCTCATGGTTCGTGGGTTCGAGCCCCACGTTGGGCTCTGTGCTGACAGCTCAGAGCCTGGAGTCTGCTTCAGATTCTGCATCTCCCTCTCTATCTGACCCTCCCCTGCTCACACTGTCTCTCTCTCTCAGATATAAATAAAACATTAAAAAAAAAAGAAAAGAAAAAGAAAACCGAGGGCAGACCCAGGAGCCACACATTGTAAGAGAGACAGACTTTACTAATTTAGTCAAGTTTTCAATGAGCAAACAAACAAAACGACAAGGCTGGAGGTGGGGAGGTGAGGCTAGAATCCAGAATTGCTACAATAGAGCAAAACACATCCAGTATTCAATAAAAAAATTATGAGGTATGCACATATGAAAATATGACTCAGATGAAGGGGGAAAAGCAGCAATCAAAACTGCCTTTCTGTGTCCCCAGATGTTGTCGTTAGCAGATAAAAACTTCAAAGCAGCTGTTGTAAAGATGTTCTAAGAACTAATACAAACCATGTTTAAAGAATTAAAGAAGAGTATGATGATAATGACTTAAACAGAAAACCTCAGTGAAGAGAAGTTATTTTATTTTATTCTTTAAGTTTTTTTAAAAAATGTTTATTTTGAGAGAGAGAGAGAGAGAGAGCTGGGGAGGGGCAGAGAGAGAGGGAGAGGGAATCTCAAGTAGGCTCCATGCTGTCAGCACAGAGCCCTGAGTGGGGCTTGAACTCTTGAACTGTGAGATCACGACCTGAGCTGAAACCAAGAGTCAGATGCTCAACCAGGCGCCCCAAGAGAAGTAATTTTAAAAACAGATTAAACATCTAATTGGATGTTATGGAGCCAAAAATCACAACTGATGTGAGGAATTCACCAGTAAGGGCTTAATAGCAAATATTAAGAAGAAAGGATAAGTGAACTAGCAGTTATCAATTAAAAATTATTTCATCTGAAGAATGGACAGAGAAAATTGAAGAAAAATTGACAGAGCCTCAAAAAACATGTGGGACCTCAAGTGCACCAACATTCACAAAACGGAAGACTCAGAATTAGAGGAAAGAGAGAAACAAACAAAAATCTTTTTGAAGAAGTAATGGATGAAATCTTCCCAAACTTGATAAGCAGTACCTTCCTGATCCAGGGACCTCAACACATCCCAAGTAGGATCATCACTAAGCAAGTCACAGTTAGATATGTTGTAGCAAACCAGTGGTAGTTGGAGACAAAAAGCAAATCTTGAAAGCAGTACGAGAAATAGAATTGTGTTACTCACGGGGACACTGCAAGATTAGCAACTGACTTCTCATTACAGAGTGAAGAACAGGGTAACAGGGTAACCCATTCAAAGGGATAAAAGACAAACATTTCGCAACCAGGAGCACAGCAAAATTGTTCTTCAGGGATAAAGGGAGAAGACGGCATTCCAGACGAATGAAGCCTGAGAGAATGTGTTGTTACAGAGTTATCCTACAAGACACACTAATGGAAGTCTTCGTGCTGAAATGAAATGATGCTATGTGGTAATAATAATTCAAATGCCTAAGAAACAATAACCAGCACTGGAATGGTAAATATGTGGGCTCAACTAAAAATATTAATTTTAATATTGATTACTTTTAATTATTATATGTTATATATAATTATATTATGTTATTATATATTATGATTGATTTTAATTATGATTAAAATTATTTTAATTTTAATATTAATAACTGAGCCTGGGTGGTTCAGTCAGTTAAGCCTCCATCCCTGCCCCCATTTCCTGGCCCACAGACGCTAAAACCCTCAGAATCTCTGAAGCCATGGGTCTTACTGCATGTTAATGAGCTGGCCTTTGGCTGTGGGTTTCTGGATAGCCTCGGTGAGGGCTGGTGCCAGGGTAATCAACCATGTGATTAGATGACTGAAGTGATCAAGTCCTACCCTCTGGTCTCCAGGGACAGGAAAGGGGCTGGGGGGTAGGTTAATCAACAGCTGATGATTCAATCAATTATGGCTATGTAATGAAACCTCCATAAAAGTCCCTAAAGTCTAGGGTCCACAGAGCTTCTCGGTTGGCAGATGTATGGAGATATTAGTAGGGGGGCCTTCCTGAAGAGGTCGTTGAAGCTTGGTATTCCTTCCCCCATACCTTGCCCTCTCTGCATGTCTTCCATCAGGCTGTTCCTGAGCTATATCTGTGTATTAAACTGGTAACCTAGTAATTAAACTGTTTTCCTGAGTTCTGTCAGCCTGTTCTAGCAAGTTATTTAACCAGAGAAGGCCTCATGGGGGTCTCCAATTTATAGCCAATCGGTCAGAAGCAGATGTGACAACTTAGATTCTCCATTGGTATCTGAAGCATGAGGAGTTGGGGGGGGAGGGGTACAGTCTTATGGGACTGAGTCCTTATCTTGTGGGGTATGTGCCAACCCTAAGCAGACAATGTCAGAACTGAACTGAACTATAGGACAGCAAGGTGATGTCTGCGGAGAACGGAAGAAGTGCTTGGTGTGAGGAGAATGTCTACACATCTGCTGTCAGAACGACTGAGTGTAGAGCATGGAGAGGAGAATTAGAATTCTTTTTCCTTTTCAAGTCCCTAAAACAATGGCTAGGCAAATAATTAAAAACATATATCATTAAAAAAATCAACACAGGGATTAAAAAAAAGGCAGACTAAAACATAAACTTCCAACCTCAAGAAATGAGGAGAGCAGGGAGAGGGCAAGATGGCGGAGAAGTAAGGAGCTCCGTACTTGCACTCGCGCCCATACATCACACAGAAAAGATCCGAAGACATTGGAAACCTTACAAAACCTGAGAGATTGGGAGAAAAAAGACGCAGAATCCACTGAGAGAGCCTTCTAACTTGAGTGCGAACCGGGGAAGATAAAATCGGGCCGGGATCGGAGACTCCAGG